TCGTCGTCGTCGTCGTCGTCGTCGTCGTCGTCGTCGTCGTCGTCGTCGTCGTCGTCGTCGGCATCGTCTGTGGGCTCTAATGGCGCCAGCTTTGAGGGCGCGGCGGCGGGCGCGCGTTCAGCCGCTGTCGGCGGCAGTTTTGGTGCGGCTTCGCCTGGCGGGCCGTCGCCGTCGTGGTCGTCGGCGGCCTTCCTTCTCTTCTTCTTCGGAGCGCCGTCTTTCTCTCCTCCCTCGTTGGCCTTCTTTTTCTTCTTCGGCTTCGCGTCCGCGCCGATGGGTTTGAACCCGATGGGCTTGAAGTTGCCCGACCCCCTGGCGTCGTCGATCGGGACGTCTGGGCCGGCGGGTGTACCGGGCTCCCCGGACGCAGGCTCGCCTTTGAGGCGCTTGTTCTTCAGCTCTCGGACGATGTCTGCGCGCGTGCGTTTCTGGGGGACATGGTGGGAGGAGGACGCAGCCTCGGCGAATGCCTGCTCGAGCTCGTCGTCGCCACCGGTGGGCTCTGCGGCGAGGCGGGCCTTGTTCTGTTCTAGGAGGGCATAGTCGAGGCCCTTGACGAGCACGGTGTGCTCGCTGTCGCCGCCAAGGAACCTGCGTTGCTCCTCGAGCTAATTTTGGGACGCATTGAACAATACCGTTGGGGGGCGATATGAATAGCAAGGGAAAGTGGTGACAACGCACCGTTTCCGGGTCCTCGTCTGCGTTCCGCTTCTCAAAGTCCTCTGCCAAAGCCTCCACTTGGGCATAGTCGTGTGCTCGTCCCTGGCGTCGCTCGTCAGCCCTGTCACGGTACTGATGATCAAGCTTGTGCACGGTTCGGGGCTTGAAGGCGGGTTGGCTCGGGTCCGCGTTCTTTCTGACAGACGGGTTATGTCAAGCGAATGACCATAAGGAAACAGGGGGACGGGGATGCTTTACGTCTTGGCCTTCTTGCCGTGTGCTGACGGAGGCGGGACAAGATTGGTTTTCCGGACGCGCGACGAGCCGGAGCCGGGCTTGGGGGCCTGAAGGAGTTGGCGAAACGAGTCCTGGGGTGGATCGTGTCAGCGTGGCGGGTCACAGGGGTCGGTCGCGGGTGGGACTCGCCTGGTCCATGGTGAATGGTTGGGGCTAGCTCGCGTAAGCAACCCGCCGGTGCGCGACGGGACCCGAGGGCGGTCGGGGTCCCGCCCTGACCCCGGCGATCACCGCGCCACAAGGCTACCGCACGTCGCAACAGCAGCCGCCCCAAAAGCGAGCATGTGTCAACCCCGGTTACGTGACAGCGGAATTCTCCCTCGGGCGGCTTTCTGCTTCCGGCTCGTGTCTCTCTGTCTTTCTCCTCCCCAGCCCCATTTCCTGACTAAATCAGGAGACCCTATATAACTCACCATGTCCAGCGACGAAGACTTCGCCGACCTACCCCCGACCATCCACGTCCACCTGGATGACATCGATCTCGACAAAATGAGCGCATCAGAGTCCGTCCGCCAAAACCCTCATTCCCGCCCGACACTGACACCATCCTTCTCCTCCAGGACGCAGTTCACGACCGCCATCCTCGAGGTCATAGACCCCCCAACCGCCAGCCACAAGCCCGGCCACACTCGCACCCCCAGCGGCGGCATAGAGACCTCACAGGGCACCATCTATGTCTCCAAGCCGATGCGCTCGGGCGGCTCCAAGAAGCTGAGGGCCATGGTCTCCTTCTCGCCCCGCAAGTCTGCCTTTGACATCTCCAACGAAAAGTCTTTCACGAACGAGTTCAGGGTGCGTAGCAACCGTTTGCGACGCGTGACGCGCACTGACACTCGTACCAGGGCTTCTTCACCCTCTTCTGGATCTCCATGTTCCTCGTCGCCGTGGGGACGTTTGTCCGCAGCCTTGAAACCAGCGGCAAGGTTGTCTCACTCGATTTTGCCATGAAGCACATGTTCTCCGCAGACACCTTCACCCTCCTGCTCAGCGATGCCGTCCTCGTTTTCAGCACCGGTCTGTGCGTCCCGTTCGCCAAGGCAATCTCAAAAGGATGGCCCAAGTACTATGACACTGGCATAGCCATCCAATACGTCTGGCAGTCCTTCGTTCTTGCCACTTCCATCACATGGGCTTTCTACAGGCAAGGCGCTTCATCTGATCTAACCTGCCATCCACTGACATCTCCACAGGCAATGGCCCTGGGTGCAGTCGGGCTACTTCACACTCCACACCCTCGCCATGATGATGAAGATGCACTCATACATGAACATCAACGGCTACCTGTCTCAAGTGAACCAACACGCCCAAGGCGTCATGGAGCGATTACGTCATGCCACCGACAAGGTCGGCGGCTGGGACGATGCCGTTGCCGCTGCCGAGTCCAACCGGCGCGAGCGCGAGCGCGGGTCGCGGGGCATCGTGGATGACGCTCCAACGAACGACGGCCCGGTCACCGCTTCGCCCGCCGGCATCTTCGACAAGGCGGCCGCACCGATGCTGCGGAAGCGCGCCAACACCACGTTCAAGGCCAAGGCGCCAGCGCCGCTCGCGCCCGCGTCGAGCACGAACCCCGAGCAGATCATGACGACCGGCAACCGCGTCCTGAGCCCCGCGGACGTGCTCAAGCCCGCGGCGCACCCGCTCGCGGACCACCCGGACGAGTCGATCGCCTCCCTCGCGCGCGAGTACTCGGAGCTCGACTCGGAGCTGGTGAGCACGGGCCCCGAGTACGTGCGCTGGCCGCACAACATCACGCTCCGGAACTTTGCATCGTACATGTGCATCCCGACGCTCGTGTACGAGCTCGAGTACCCGCGCACGGACCGGATCCGGCCGCTGTACGTGTTCGAGAAGACGGTGGCGACGTTCGGCACGTTCGCGCTCCTCTACACCGTCACCGAGAACTTCATCTTCCCGCTCACGCCGACCAAGGACCAGTCCTTCCTGCGCTCGCTGCTCGACCTCGCGCTCCCGTTCATGATCGCGTACCTCCTGCTATTCTACCTTATTTTCGGTGAGGCGCCCCAGCCCATTTTTATAAGCTCGTTGTTGACACACGCGCGCAGAGTGCATCTGCAACGGCCTCGCAGAGCTGTCGCGCTTTGCGGACCGGCAGTTTTACGAGGACTGGTGGAACGCGACCTCGTGGGACGAGTTCTCCCGCAAGTGGAACCGGCCCGTGCACATGTTCCTGCTCCGGCACGTGTACGCGTCGTCGATGAGCTCGTACAAGCTCTCGCGCAGCTCGGCGATGTTCTTCACCTTCCTCCTCAGCGCCGTCGTGCACGAGCTCGTCATGGCCGTCGTCACGAAGAAGCTCCGGTGCGTGTTTTTTCTTCTTCGCCTTGCGCGCGTTTTTTCTCCTGGGAGGTGCTCATGGATTGATGTGCGTGCGCAGGTTGTACCTCTTCACGATGCAGCTCGCGCAGATCCCGCTCATCGCGGTTGGACGCATGCCCGCGATCAAGCGGAACAGGCTCCTCGGGAACATCGTCTTCTGGGTCGGGCTCTACGCCGGCTTCCCACTGCTCTGCGTCGCGTACTGCGCATACTAGGCGCCTGCCTACCTCGACATCCATTAATACGCGACTACTCACGTTTTCTAGATGCTCGGTTCATGACATGTTATGACACCCTCACGTTTCATCTACATCGGATCTGACCACTACTGCTTATCCCGCCACATTAATACCACGTACTTATATAGGGGTCTGGATATAATTCTTCTATGTTCTACTCAATGGGAAAGGTATCTTTGGAATTCTTTATATGGCCTACCGAGCCGCCGTGGCGATATACATAGCTTGTAAAGTTATCAAGTTAGGTGTACCACGTCACGCAGCAGACAGTCTGAGAGACCGGGAGACCGGGCTCGCCACCAAGTTGGCGCTCGAGCTTCGGGTGCTGCTGATGGCGGGACGCTCCTCTTTCTCGACTATCCACAGTC